AGCTGCTGGTGGTTTCCAACAGCTGACCCTGTGGTTAGCAGCCCAGTGCATAAGCACTCACCACTAGGACACCATACACACACATATGTGTGTGTGCAAGCACATACACATGTATATGAGCCTTACTGTTGCTGATCCTGACTTGTGGTAACCTGTTAACTTTTCTTGTAAACCCTCGTCCTCATGAGTGTAACTGAACACTGTGTGGCCAGTGCGTGGGGCTGGGACTCAGCAGAGTTGGGGGGAGGGGTCCTGCTGGAGGGACAGTGGTGTCCCAGTAGGAAGGCATGCCTGCCCTCTGCCCTGAGGCACATGGACATGGGCTGGTGTGGAGCAGGATCCTCTGTCCCTGCTGAAGTCAGACGTGGGCCCTGCCTCCTTTTTGGCCCTGGCAGTCTTAGGGGCTCCCACCCCCACCCCCAGCACCGCATCAGTCAGTGTTCTGTGGTGCTCCACCAGCAGGTTTTCCTTGGCAAATCTTTGGAGAAGTGGATTGCCGGGCCTTTTCCCCTTGTCTGCCGTAGTCTGGAAGTTCTGCTGAAACCTGTCAGATCTCATGGCCCCGACACTCCCCACCCCACCCCACCCCGCCCGGGGTGGCTATGATCAGAGAAACAGATAGCAAGCGTTGGCAAGGATGCAGAGAAATGGGGAGCTGCGGTTGGTGGGAATGTGAACTGGAGCAGCCACCGTGGAAGACACTTGGGCAGCTGCTCAAGACGTACCAACTGCCAGCAGGTCCACTCCTGGGTGTGGACCCCAAAGCAGGGAGGGGCACGCAGATAACACCACAGGCGGAGAGAACGGCCTATCGACCCATCAGCAGGTCCCTCTGTCTGCCCATCCTTCTCATAGAAGGTCGCCCACTTCAGAGCGAGAGAATGTCCCGTGCTCACTCCCCTCCCTGCAAACTCCTAGGGTACTCACTGCCTGGTGGGATGACCCAGGCACACAAGGGCAGAGGCTGTCTGACCCTGGGAACACAGACAGTCCAGGGCCATACGCAGGGTGGGGACAATGCATGGGAGTGCTGACCCACGCCTGGGGATAGCTGGCGGTGGGGGTGGGGGGCGCTCTTGCTTCAGGGAGACCTGGTTTCCATTTGGGGTACTGATCAACTTTTGGAAACCTCGGTGACGGGACCACCTGGTGAGTGGAGACCCTGTCCCTGAACTGAACTTGAAAAATAGCTCAAATGACGTTTTTTTGCTTGCTTGCTTCTCAGCACGTGATTTAGCGATTTGTAAAGATGTCCCTTTTCAGGGGGTGCCCTCCTGCTTTGCAATGGGGGTGGGCGGGGCTGGGGGAGATGGAAACCCCTTTTTGAGTCTGCCGCTGTCTCTGCTCAGTGGCATGGCTCTCGGGGCACGGCCGTCCAGACATACACATGTAGGGACGTTCTCAGAACAGCGGGTAGGGGTGGGGTCTGGGCTGACACCCCATCCAGGCCTCGATGCATTTGATGTGCTGAGCAGCCCTTATCTTTGGCTCTTAGGGACGCGTGCTTGTTTTTCCAGGGCTGGGAGTTAACGTCACACGGGTGACAGGATGGTGGGGGAGGTGTGGCCACGTGAGTGCTGGCACTGGCACCTGCTTGGGCGGGGGGGCAGGTCTCTGACGTGTGCTGGTGATCTCAGCGGGTTCTGGGGTTGCTCAGGTGTGGCCCCTGCGTCCCAGCAGCAGGTGTCAGGAAGTGATGGTCAGCGTCAGCCTCTCGGGCGTGTGCCATCCATGCTGCCCCTGCGTCGAAGGTCCCAGGCTGGGCCAAGTGGTGTGTGTGCTCTGTTTCTAATGGAGAGGCCTGCAGGTCACTCAGCAGAAGAAAGACTGTTGGGACCCACAGGGTTTTCATTCGCTGTGTTTTGGAAGTCGGTCACCAGGACCTTCTTTGTAGTCTTCATCCAGAAGTGTCCCTAAAGCCTGTTTGGTATCCTTGCAACACAGAGCCCGTTCCCCCCGAAAGGGTGGGGGCTGCGCATGAGGTGCACTGGACCCACAGGGGGCCTCCCATGTGGAAGGCGAGGATCGTGTCCCGAGAAACCACTGCTACTGCTCTGCTCCCCTTGCCTCTGCTCAAAGGCTCCCTCCAGGCTCCACAGCACTCCCTCTGCCTCGAAGACTTGTCTGTGTCCAGAGCATCCAGGGCCAGCCCAGTGCTCACCACCACCCTCTCCCGCCGCCTGTCCCCAGGATAGTGATGTTGCGGCCAGGGAGAGCCATGATCAGGCAGTTAGAAGCCATGGCTCTGTGGGGTTAGGCACTGTACTGCCAACTGCAAGGTTGGGAGTTCAAACCCACCAGATGCTCTTTAAGAGAAAGACAGGAAGCCTGCTCGATGAAGGTCTGCAGTCTCAGAGACCCCGTGTTATACCCCCAGGCACCGGCAGTGGCGGTGGTGGGTTTGGCTTTGGCTTGGTGGACTGAAGAGTCCCTCTGGTTCGATGGGGGAAGCACTGGGGTCACTAAGTGAAAAGTCAACAGTTTGAACGCACCAGCCCCTTTGTGGGAGAAAGATGGGCCATAGAGATTCACAGTCTCAGAGACTCTGAGGGCCAGGTCTACCCCTCGGGGTCCCGTGAGTCAGGCTCTACTTGACAGCAATGAGCTGGCCACTCTTTCAGGGTTTGTTTGAAACCGAAATGTTAGCTGCATGTGAAACCCCTCCCCCACTTCGAACTTTTCCTCCATAGCCTAATAATATGAATTGCCTTTGAGGTGCAGAGGGGTTGTGCTTGACTATTAACCTAACGGTTGGCGATTTGAACCTGGCCAGCAAGCACCGCAGAAGAAAGGCCTGTGAATCCGATTCCGTAATGATCCCACCAAGAAACCCCAAGGGAACAGTTCTCCCTGGCACCCTAGGGGTCGCCATGAATCAGGGTCGATCCCCTGGTCGTAGGGTATGGCCTGGTTTTTAGTCTGGTTCTTGGTCTGGGGCCTTACAAAGATTAGAGGACACACAGGGACAGAGAGAGACTCTTTTCAGGGGGAGTGAGGCTTGTCCCGGCCTCAGCCCGGCACGGGCCCTGGCTGGTACTGAGGGGAGAAGGCCGCCGAGGACCGGATGCCACCCTGGCTCTCAGGAGCTGTGTTTGGCTTGGAAAAGGCGAGAGTGAATTAGCCATTCCAGGCAACCTTCAGGGGATGTCACAAGGCAGCTACAA